CCTTCAAGGCCTCAATAGTAAAATTGGTCTGTCTCACCCATTCATTCAGCAGCTGGGTTTGTGCCTTCTGAAGGATCTTGCTTGCCCGGTGCCCGCTGACCAATGATTTTAGTTCCAGGCTCTTGGGAATGATGCCACTTTGTCAACATCTGAGGTTGAATCGCAAGTGGTTCCTGTAGTCTGCCCTCTTCCTTGCTGTTTTCTCAAACTCTCTTACTAGTTTGAGGCAATCCTGGCCAAAGTGATTCAAAATATCCTGATGCATGCTCAATAATCCAGGTAGAAAAATCACAGAAGATCAACATCATCAGGCCAGGATTCTGCGGTCTACACTCATCTCCAGGCCAGCGGTCACTCTTTCAGGGATGAAGATGTTCACATCCTGGACAGAGAGGAACGATGGTTTGAGAGAGGAGTAAAGGAGGCCATCTTTGTGAAAAGAAATCGTCCATCATTAAACAGGGGTGGAGGCCTCCGGGTTCAACTGTCCTCCTCTTACAATGCTGTGATTGCTAGTATCACTCAGCCCTCTGTGAGTAGTAAACAGTCATCAGTGTGCTAATGACCCATTGTTAGGCTGATGGTCCTTCTTGAGCATGTGATCAGCTGGTTTTGGTTGTCAGCAGCAAACTGGTTGATCCACTCTAAGAAGGTGCTATTTAAGAGACTGAGCTGAAAACAGCACCTCAGACTGAGGAAGTCTCTTGGATGAGAGACGAAACGTTTCTATATTTTTTTGCTTTGTTTTATTTTTTGTTTTTTTGAATGTCCAGAGGACCAGATTGAACTTTTTTGGACTTGGAACAGATGTTTGAGTTGATGAAGATGGAATTTGTCAAAATACAAAATTGGTTTAAATTAAACAAGTTATCATTGAACCTTGATAAAACTAATTATGATATTTAGTAAAAAAAAAAAAAGATAACTGTCGATGTTCCTTTAGAGTTGATGGTGTTGAGATATGCAGAGTAGGTGAGGTGAAATTTTTGGGTGTAATTATTGATGATAAACTGTCATGGAAACAGCACTTAAATTCTGTAAAAACTAAAATATCTAAATCCACTGCAGTACTGTATAAAGTAAGGGACTTATTGAATGATAAAGCCTTGTATTTGCTGTATAATACAAATATAGCCCCGCATTTAATTTATTGTGTTGAAGTTTGGGGAACAGCATGTAAAACCATAATGATGCCTATTTTTATTTTGCAGAAAAGAGCTATAAGAATTATCACAAGAAAGCATTATTGTCATCCATCTAGTATTTTATTTTACCAATTGAAATTACTGAAGTTTCATGATTTGGTTAACTATAATATTCTTTTAGTACTGTATAAAGCTCAGAACTACACACTACCTTCAAACATTCAAACGTATTCTGTAAAAAGGAAAAGTTGCTATAATCTTAAGGGAACAGACATTTTTGTTAAACCACAGTACAGAATATCTTGATGCATGCTCAATAATCCAGGTAGAAAAATCTAAAAAAGTTAAATCTGGTCCTCAGGACATTCAAAAAAAAAAAAAAAAAAGCAAAACAGCAAAAAAATGTAGAAACGTTTCGTCTCTCATCCGAGAGACTTCCTCAGTCTGAGGTGCTGTATTCTGCTCAGTCTCTTAAATAGCACCTTCTCTGAGTGGATCAACCAGTTTTGCTGCTGACAACCAAAACCAGCTGATGACATGCTCAAGAAGGACCATTTTGAGTGATCACTGTGTGACAGCGACTCTGAGCGATTTTTTTTTTTTTTTTTTTTTTGTAGATGGCCTCCGTTCTCCCCTTACAGCCATCCTCTCCACACCATTATTATGAAATATTTATTCTAGTGACTATCTAGTGTAGGTTTTTTATTATTATTTTTTTATTTTATTTTATTTATTTATTTATTTATTTAATAGGATAGAAAGAAAGAAAAGACAAAGTAAGACTCCAAAATATAAGACATATACACAAAGAGAGCACATGGCAAAACACCCGGCCACTGTCTGTTCACCTGCAAAGAACATGACAAAACACAGCAACAAAATACATATGTATAAAGAATTTAAAATATTCATGGCTTTGCAGTAAGTTTCCATAAATATATATGCCCATACCTACGCCTATATACATACATACATACACAAGAATATACATTCATATACATATCTATATATCTACATCCTGCTTCTATTTGTGTGTGGTTGTGAGCATGCATAAGTTTATAAGGCTTCTCTAATAGAACATTTAATAGTAACTGTGAAGCAGCAGAGACCCGACCCCCAAGACCAGAGGCAGACGAAAAAGGGGGGACCAGAGCCCAAGACCCCAGGAGGGACCCCGACCGCGGAGCCCCCAGGTCCACCCACACAGGACGAACCACTGGCCCACCCCCCAGATCAGACCACAGGGGAGAGCCAGAAGATCCCCACCAGCGACCACATACAGTGACCCCCCGGAGCCAACAGCGACGAACTCATAGGCCCCCGCCGGAAACCCGCCGCACCGATGCAGGTCCAGGCCCGGGCACGGAGGCCCGGGCACCGAGGACCCACACCACCCAGGCCAAGGCCTGACAGGGCCAGAGGACCCGAGCCCCACCAGGCAGACACCAGGCCGAGCCGACACACGCCCAAGCGCCCAGCCCCCGACTCCAAGGGTCCCAAGCGCGCCGGCAGGCAAGGGCACACCCCACCAGGGGGCCGTGCGATAGGGGCGCGATGCCAAGCACCCGCAGTTGTATCAAAGAGGGGGCAGTCCGAGTCTCAGCCTAACAAATACCCATTCATACACAGACACAATCACACAGTCCCAGCCTCATTCTCACACTCACTCACTCACTCAAAGGCATACAATAACGATACATTTCATTCTTATTCCCGATACGCACTCTATACCCCCCAGGTCTAAGACATGTACCCGCCCTCTACAGGGGGCAGCCCATGCCCAAACCCAGGAGGTAGACCCATTCATTCTCGAGCGGAGAGGAGCCAATATCCCAGACCCAGCCCAGGCCACGCCCAGTCGACAGGACACCCCCCACCACGAAGAGGACACGCCACCGACCACACCCACACACCGCCAACAACCAAGCATGCGCCCCCAGCCGACCGCCCGCCAGGCCCCGGCAGCCACCCCGGCCAGCAGGCCAACCATGGCACCCAAGAGCCAAGCTCAGGGGGTCCAAACAACCTCAGGGAGAGCACAGCTCCAGCACCACCCACGGCAATCCCCCAGACCCCGAACCCCCACATAGTCCTGGTCAACACCCGACGGCCTGCCCTTCTCCCGGACCCCACCCCCGGAATAGCAGTTAGGAAACTAGGGGGGGAGGAAAAAAAATAAGACCCCGACACATACACCCCCGCCCCTAGATGTGCTGTTGATGCGTGTTGTTGTATAGTGCCATTAAAAAGGAAAGAAGAAGGAGCGAAGGCTGGCATGATGCCAGTTTCCCCTCCACCCCAACTCTATCCAAACCCTAGTGTCTAAATGCAACCGTTGTAAGTGAGCACAGGCACAGGGGGTGAGAGTAAGGTCATCTCACCACCCATAGCCATGTGCCCACCTCAAGTTCCTATATGTGAATGTCATGAGGATGTTATGAATGAATGTCTAAGGTGTACAATAAAATTGAGTCCCAGGTGGCTATGGTCAACAGAGATGTAAAATTGTTGCAGCACACCCGAGCCCAAACAACCCTAAATGTGTGGAATTGAAATGAAGAGGGTGGAGGTGCATGGTGAGGGATGGGGAGAAATAACTGTGAGAGCAAATGCTCCCACAGGGAGTCAGCTCCCCCACTGACCCAACA